TATTTCTCCGGATCAGCATGTTCTTCTGCAGTACACACCCCTGCCCCCTAGTAAAACACTCCCCTCACACAGTTAACCCTTTCAGTAAATAAAAAAGTTAACCCCTTCCTCCCCAGTGCCATTAGTACAGTGTCAGTAGGTTTTTTTTTTGCACTGATCACTGTATTGGTGTCACTGGGGATGTCAGTGACCCCAAGTCAGTTCCCTCCCAGTGTCAGAATGTCCGCCGCAGTCCTGCCATAAGTCGCTGATCGCCGCCATAAGTCGCTGATCGCCACCATTGTTAGTATAAAAAAAAATTTACAATCCCAGTATCTTTCCCGCCATTTGTAAACGCTATAACTTTCACGTAAACCAATTAATGTACACGTATTGGGTTTTTTTTTTAACAATGACATGTCGCAGAATACAAAAATGTAAAAAAATTTTTACTGGACATATTTTATAGCAAAAAGTCCAAAATATTGTTTTTTTTAATCAAAATTGTCAGGCTTTTTTTTTATAGCGCAAAAAATAAAAAACGCACAGGCAATCAAATACCACCGAAAGAAAGCTCAATTTGTGGGAAAGAAAGGATGTAAATTTCATTTATGTACCATATTAAATGACCGCGCAATTGTCCGTTAAACTAGTGCAGCGCTGTATAGCAAAAAAATGGCGTAAATTGCAGTATCTATACCATAGTTTGTAGATGCTATAACATTCACAAAAAAGCAATCAATATACACTTTTTGGGATTTTGTTTACCAAAAACACATGTAGTAGAATACATTTTGGCCTAAATTTATAACCAACTTTGAGTTTACTATATATTTTTTATGGCTGAAAGTAAAAAATATCGTTTTTCTTCAAAATTTTTGGTCTTTTTTTGTTTATAGCATGAAAAATAAAAAGCGCACAGGTGATCAAATACCACCAAAAGAAAGCTCTATTTGTGTGAAAAAAAGGACGTAAATTTCATTTGGGTGCAGCATTGCATGACTGTGCAATTATCAGTTGAATTAGTGCAGCAGCGAGTACTAAAAAGAGGCCTGGTCATTAAGGGAGGTAAATCCTCAGGAGGGCAAGTGGTTAAAACATGTGAGTGTTACAAATAGTATATAAAAGTCCATATGCATAAGAAAAAGATGTGTAGTTTTCCTGAATAGCGATCTCCTTTTCAGCTGTATTGAAAGTGCCCTGGATTTATGGATCCTACTGTTTTGCACAGTTTCTAAGCATGTTGATTCACAAACTGGCCGCTTATATCTATATCCAGTCTCAATATCCCCCAATAGAATTCCTGGCTCTGCAGGCTTCCTGGGCCATTGCAAAACCAAATAACCAAATGAAGGTGTTATACTCCCCAAGTGATTTGTTATAATTCAGTATAAACATAAAATTGGTGAATCCAGCTGAAAGAGAGTGATTCCACTATGGTCTTGTGGGAAGTGGCACAAATACAATGCATTGCTCAGAGAACCCACTATTGGAATTCTCTAGAGAAGAAGCTGGCAAATTATTTAAATTATATTCTCCATGCAAAACTGAAATATTTGTTTTGTTTTGCTTTTGGAGGAGTATTCAATGTTGCAAAGCAGCATGCAATCGAACAAACAAATCACAGTAAGCCATAAAAAGTCTCCAATAGAGTTTATTTCTTTTTCTAGACCTGTGGCATTCTGATATTTTCTAGAAAATTGATTATAGCTTCTAAGTATCTTTTTTTACGTCCTTTAAAATAAAAACCTAGAAATTAGATATTACTAGTGTGAGCTGGGTAACTAACATTACCAACCCTTCCTAAAATGCAGGGGGTATCAACCTTTTCAGTGCTGGATAGACACTGTACACATTTTGGAGTTGGTTGCTTTTCCTCGGCAAGATTCCCTGCTTTGGAGTGAAGTTGGAAGCTGACTAGATTCTAGAAGGTAGTCAGTGCCCTCTATGGAAATAATGTTTCATATAGAACATGCTTACCCAGTATACCTGGTATCATCCATAGAAAACTCAACATTTATGCAGCAGCAGCATTCTTCCTCCAGACTGTGGTGCTGATGGCCAGATGGAGTACATGGCATTATGCATTTGAGAACAGAACCAGCAACTGTTTTCACATTAAAAAATATACCATCTGCAGACCTACAGTATATTCAGGTGTGTATTAGGTCCAGTTAAAAGCATCATGCTACATAGCCCATCTTCCAACTCTATAACTATATAGAATTATTAAAAAGTTAATCAGTAATATTCCATGTTTTTAATTTTTTACCTAATGTCTATCATAAAGCACTTGAAGTGGCTCTCTGATTTTACCACCAATGATGTCTTTCATGTGTGCAGAAAAACCAGCATAAACATATAATGCACAAGTGCCTACCCAAACAGCATAATACACCCAACCCAGGTAGTCTTTTCATTGCCAATCGCCATCTTCTACACTAAAGGCTGCTGTCATCTTCATACATTTACTACTGGCGTGCACTGAAAAGTCTAAGTTTTAAAATAAATTATAATCTAGTGTTAAATCCAATTAACTAACTTATAACCGTATTAACCCATCACTTACAAAATTTCCCACTTCAAGTCATGATGGCCAATACAGAATCCAACAGTGTCTTTGGGAAGACTACAACCCTCCTAAGGGGGCATCATAGTGTCCTACACTACCCTATGGGTGCAGTGGGGAATACATGGATTAGGTGTCAGGCTGAGACTGCATCTGGCTTAGAATAATTTCATCTGTTTAAGTTAAGCACTTACCTGCAAGATGTTCAGATCAAGTAGCAATGTGATAAAGACAGTGGTAATTTATGCAATAAATTATGCAATACTACAAACAAATTCAATTCTAGATCTGGAGTTGAAATGTGTATGTGTGTTTATGGAAAAAATAGCATTAAATATCTGTATTTAAAAAGTTTTACTAATTTCAATTCTGTGATAAAGAGACCCTGTCACAGCCAATTACTCAGCAAGCCATAGGCATTCAGGGAATCTGTAGTAAGATAGGGTATGATTGTGGCAATCCTTCAGCATAATCAACACTTCAGGGAGCGCTGAGCAGAGAGACTTCTGGGCTGCTGGCCACGCAATTCTCCCTGACCTTACAATAACAGTGTGTTTTACCAGCATGAAGAAAACTCTCCCCATCTGTACTAAAAGCCAAGCATAGTAAACAATGACAGTGGGATTACTACGCACAATTTTTTAGTGCTGACCTCATATGAGTTTTCCTCATGCTACTGATGCTGATACACATGATGTCGGGGTTAGGTGTGGGCAGTAGCGCTGTAAGCAGCACAGAAAGCTCTCTATTTGACACTCCTGGAAGTGTCAATTTTGCTGTAGGTATACTTCTGCAGATCCGTCACATAGTTACAGCAGGTTGAGTTTCTGTAAATAGAGGAGAACAAATAGAAACCCCTGCCTGCCTTTAGTTTGTTTTGTACCAGGTGGTGATAGTTTCTCTTTAAATACCAACTGATCAGTGTTATAAATCAAATTAAAGTTATTTATTCATGTTTTTTACTGTTTGTAATCTGAGCGTTCTTTTAAATCAGATATCTTGGTTTATTCATTCAAATGTGATGGTGAAGTATTAATATGGATGTATATTACAAGGATCTACTTTAAAAAATAAATACATAAATAAATAAAGTTACAACCCCATCCTCTTTGCATTTAATGTGTTTTTTAGAGGAAGCTTTTTTAGTTTTGGGCCAATTTGTGCCTTGTGACAAATGTTGTGGGCAAAATATCCAAATAGGTAGTTTGTTCTGATGAGAACTGTCTAGGATTGGAATTCACTTCACTTAGCAGAGATTTTCTCTCATTTTCTTTTGCATCTCCAGTACAGGAAGTAAAAGGAAATCTCCCCAGCAAGGCAGCAAAATAAAAAAAATAACAGGATAGGGGTTTTATCAATTATCTACTCTATTTAAAACTAAAAAGAATTTTTGCCAATTCATACACTTTACAGAAAATGACTTCAGTGGAATAGAAATATGCAATTCAAATACAGTATATATTGTTTATATTATGTTTGTTGTTTCCCTATAAATTATATATATTAATGTGCCTTACAAATTTTACCTTGCTTACTGATTATTTTAAAAACCAGATACCAGTCTCATACACCATTCACCATGACCCTCATACAATAATACTTGTCACCCAGTGGGGTAGTAACATATTACATATTACACCACTCCAGAAATAAAAGGTTTAAAAAAATACAGAGTTTTGCTTTCTTTTATACTATATATATATATAAATATATATATGGCTATATTTATATATACATATTTATATATGTAAACACACACACGTACGTTTAAGACCAGTTAATGGCCCACTAACAACTGAACACCTTCCTGCCAGACGAATGTTGCGATTTCCTCTGACAAAAACAAGGTTACATGCAGTCCCATCTCATTCATAAGTGACTCTTTAAAATCTATACTATTTTTTATCACCTTCATTCCTATTTATATATCTATATATACATACACAGTTTTCTCTTTTGGCGGGAAGAGGGGGGGGGTTTAAAAAAAATATGACTGACTGCTCATTTTTTAAAAACATGAAGCTGCAAGCCTCAGGACAAAGATGTTTGCATCTGTAACAAAACACATGGCAGACAACCTTAAAAACCTATTTTAAAACAAAATAAATACAATTTGGAGATTTCTTTAGCAGACTGATTTAGAAATCTATCTAGACTGGACTATACCCCATCACTGCGCAGGATCACCCTGTGACAGAGAGAGGGATAATCGCGCCATGCGCGTACTCGCGTGTGCGTGTTTACACAAACATTTTTATATTTTCTTTTTCATTTTTGATAGAACTTTCACTCCAGCATTTTCAAAGAACCCTCAGGGGTTAACAAATATCCAAGGCTTTTAAGAAAAAAAGCTGACATAATTAAACCACATAGTGGCTATGGATAAAAGGTGAGATTGTTAGGTCTTCACTCCACCGCTCCCACCCTGAATTCCAGCTGTCCTCTTCTCTCCTCAGCCGCTGTCTGAAGAAGTGTGAGGGGCAGTGGAAGGAGAGGTACGTCTCCGTGGAGGGCTCCATGAATTGTCCGAGCTGTTGGAAGGGGGAAAAGGCCTGTGGGACCGCAGGAGGAAGAGTTCTCCCTGCTCTCGGAGCAGAGCCTGAGCTATAAGCCCTGGTAGAGCATGGAGAGAACCATTCAGGGAGTCAATCTTGGTCTCCAGGGTCATGATCCTCTTCTCAAGATCATCATTTCGTTCTTGCAGTTCAGACATGAGGTCATACATCACATTCTGAGTCTGAGTAAGAGTCAAAAGATTACATTGAAATATTTAATATTTGAAATGTTTAAAAGTGCTACATCTTCTATTTTAAACACAATCTTGCAACATGAGGTTACTTAAAAACCAAGTGTATCTAAACCCCAAACTTTTCTTTTTAGTTTTTCAAAGAGTGGGGACTGGTTAGAACCCGTCAGTTTATTTCATTGCTGGCAGTGGGAGGAAAGCAAATTATACAATTGTTATCAGAACAGTTGTCTCCACTGGAAGATTTTCCCTCAACTCCTGTTCCTGTAACAACTGTAAGTTAGGATTTTCCATCACTTTCTGTATAGATGAAGAAAGGAAAGGGTGAATCTCCCCAGTGTGGGCACACACAGTAATATAAAGCTGACAGACCTTCTAACCCTTACCTGCTCTATATAAAAAAAAAAAAAAGTAGCTAAAGATATACTTTAAGTTACACAAACCCCCCACTCAGAATTCATGTTGTATTTGCCTGACTTTTGAAAGTTCTGCTTTAAGGCTTCCCCCTTAACTTCTCTTTAACATCTGGCATATTCTTTTGGGGTGGGGAGCGGGTACCTAATTTTGACAGGTACCCCTCTCCCTCTTCTGCTTGGATCGCCTAGGTGGGTGTCTAATTTTGACAGGTACCCATTCCCTCTTCTGCTTGGATCGCCCCTAGGCCTAGGAAGTCTCCCCCCCCCCAGCGCAGTCTTCTGGGACACGTCACAGGTCCCAGAAGACTGCGGGACCATTCACAGTGTGCAGCACAACTCCTGTTTGCACAGTGAGCGGTCAGCTGTGTTCCCTCTTTAGGAAACAGGTCCTCAAGTACTTGTAAGTCAGTGTTATGTTTTTGCAGAAAGGTAAACAAGAGGATACACCTATCTTGGACTGTGTACAGGACACCTTTAAAAGTTTCCAATGTTGACCATACTGGAACCATCACATAAAGACTCTTGGACTTGCACTTGGGTTCAACTAATAGACACTGGAAGGGTGACAACGTTGCCAGGATACAAAGAGATGATCATATAGCAAGTCAGGAATAAGAAGTTAACACACCCAGGATCAAAGTGCCAAAATCAAACTATATTTACAAAAATAGGTGGCTTTGTATTGCTATTACAAACCAAAGAATGCCACTGTATAGATATAAACATGCCAATATGCCAGCCACAGTGCTTGATCACTCTCAAGGTGATTTTGGGTCTTCAGAGGCTGAAGGCCACCCACAAAATGTATTTAGGATCAACCCCTTCAAGCTCTACAATACAAGACCACCTGGGAATGGTGGCTGAACAAATATTAGCTCTTCTCTTTTTTTCCCCTGGTGCCATAAAGTGTTGTATAGGTCATCATTTGATTGACAGGATGTGCACTGTGTACTTCCATTCTGAGAACACCGGTCAAAAGCTTAAGGTGGATTCACAGAGCAAATCCTGTCAATCAAGAAGAACTACAGCACCTCTATGGAGGGGGTGAGGTGATCTGCACCAACAGACCTATGCAGCATTACCCTTCTTCAGCACATCAAAGAGCAACAGAAAACTAAAACCTTGAATAGCCTGTAATGAATCAATATTTGTGTACACAATTTGTACATCAATTTTATCCATCCTATAACAGTGCTGTCACTACTCTGGTTTCTGAATATGTACATACACACACTATATAAATCACTCTATTTAACAACTAAGTGCAGTCAAAATAAAAACACAAAAACCAGCACAAAAACTTAAGCCTCATATTCATAATGAGAATATCGGACGAATTAAAATTTTTTTGCATGCTAGTCTCATTTCGAATGTGAAGAGGTTACTAAAGTTATGAAAATTCTTGTATGACAGAATAAAAATACAGAAGTGATATAATGTATTGTATTGTATTGTCTACTTGTCCCACTATGTGATATGAATTACTATGGACTAGAAGTTGCTGTTTTACTATGACAATCCTTGTTTCACTTGTCAGTTTTGTGAGTACAGGTGCATCTCAATAAATTGGAATATCATCAAAAAGTGAATTTATTTCAGTAATTTAATTCAAAAAGTGAAACTCATATATTATATAGATTCATTACACACAAAGTGATATATTTCAAATATTTCTTTCTTTTTAATTTTGATGATTATGGCTTACAGCTAGTGAAAACTCAAAATTCAGTATCTCAGAAAATTTGAATATTGTGACAAAGTTCAATATTGTAGATTCATGGTGTCACACTCTAATCAGCTAATTAACTCAATACACCTGTAATGGTTTCCTGAGCCTTTAAATGTTCTCTCAATCTGTTTTAGTAGGTTACAGAATCATGGGGAAGACTGCCAACTTGACAGTTATCCAGAAGACAGTCATTGACACCCTCCACAAGGAGAGTAAGTCACAAAGATCATTGCTAGAGAAGCTGGCTGCTCACAGAGTGCTGTATCCAAGCATAATAATGGAAAATTGAGTGGAAGGAAAAAATGTGGTAGAAAAAGGTGCACAAGCAACAGGGATAACCGCAGCCTTGAGAGCAAAGGCCATTCAAGAATTTGGGGGAGATTCACAAGGAGTGGACTACAGCTGGTGCTTCAAGAGCCACCACACACAGACATATCCAGGACATGGGCTACAACTGTTCCTCATGTCAAGCCACTCCTGAACCAGAGACAATGTCAGAAGTGTCTTACCTGGGCTAAGAAGAAAAAGGACTGGATTCTTGCTCAGCGGTCCATAGTCCTCTTTTCGTATGAAAGTAAAATCAAGATCCCAGAGTCTGGAGGGGGAGTGGAGAGGCACAGAATCCAATTTGCATGAGGTCCAGTGTAAAGGTTCCACAGTCAGTGATGATTTGGGGAGCCATGTCATCTGCTGGTGTGGGTCCACTGTGTTTTATCAAGTCCAAAGTCAGTGCAGCCCTCTACCATGAAATTCTAGACCACTTCATGCCTCCCTTTGCTGACCAGCTTTATGGAGATGCTGAATTCATTTTCCAGCAGGACTTGGCACCTACCCACACTGCCTTATGTACCAATACCTGGTTTAATGATCATGGTATCACTGTGCTTGATTGGCCAGCAAACTCCCCTGACCTAAACCCCAGAGAATCTGTGGGGTATTGTCAAGAGGAAGATGAGAGACACCAGATCCAATAATGCAGACGACCTGAAGGCCGCTAACAAAGCAACCTGGACTTCCATAACACCTCAGCAGTGCCACAGGCTGATCGCCTCCATGCTACGCCATATTGATGCAGTAATTCATGCAAAAAAGAGCCCCGACCAATTATTGAGTGTATAGTATACTGTACATGGACATACTTTTCAGTAAGCCAATGTCTCTGTATTAAAAATTGTTTTTTTTTATATTGGTCTTATGTAATATTCTGATTTTCTGAGATACAGAATTTTGGGTTTTCAATAGCTGTAAGCCATAATCATCAAAATTAAAAGAAAGAAATGCTTGAAATATATCACTCTGTGTGTAATGAATCTATATAATATATGAGTTTCACTTTTTAAATTACTGAAATAAATTAACTTTTTGATGATATTCTAAATTATTGTGATGCATCTGTATATTACTTACCATGGTTTTACTAATAAAAGCCATGTTCTGGGGATAATGCACTAGGCTGGTGTGCCCTCTGTTTTGTTCAATGGTTTCAATGTATCCAGACTCCCCTAATCTTGAGAGGGCAACTAGGCAAGGCATGCCTATTAAAGCCAGGGAAATATAGGCAACGGTGATCTCTGGGGCTTACTCCCAAACGCAGGAGACTGTGTGTTTGCTATCAGTTTGGAACTTATTTATTCTCCATTCTAACCTAATTTTCTTTTTTTTTCATAGAAACAAGGCCACTCTTTATTTTACAACTAAGTCTCTCAGTACTAAATTCCAGGGCACCCTGGTATGCATGTTTCAACCAGTTATATCAACAGCCTCACCTTGCCCACTCTTGCCTAATTATTGGCCCATCACTGTGAAGAGTGATCTCACTGGCTGATATGCAGGAGCCTGAATTCCTTGATTGTGGTGCTTTAGCAAGTAAAATGCTTCTTCAGGTTCACTTTAAATGGGTGACACATTGAGGCTGCTTAGTTAACAAAATGTACTCCATTTGGAAGCATATTTTATTTTGGAGCAGGGAATACCAATATAAAAACTACATTACGAGTGTTGTTAAAAGCTTGTCAGATATTCAGAAGTGAAACAGTATATCTATATGGCTTTGTATGGAATGTATACAAACAAAGCTGCCAGAAAAAGATAAGACTGTAGATGTTACCCCAAAAACACAATTCACTTGCCTGGCTGGGGTAAAAATGGATAACATTTTAATTATGGTAGTCTTGCAGTTAAATGCATGGGCTTCCTGAACAAGTCAAAATAGCTGTTCAGAAGAATAACATATCTGGTTTTACAGCTGCTCATAGGACATATTTTCAGTAGGAGTCCATATGGCATACATGTTTCAAGACACATGCAAATTGTTCATGGAAAAATACACCCAGGGAAGCAAGGCAATTAAAAGAATTAAGCTCGCTGACTGGATGGATGAAAAGACACATAGCCCCTTTTTCTGCACACTCCACTGAGTAGATTAATCATAGTATTAGAGTCAGAAAAGCAGAGGAAGTAGTTCAGTTGCAGTAAATTGGGACAAAGATTCCTAGGAATGCAGATTTATAGTTATTAGCTATGACAAGTCAATGAATTGGGCCCAAAGAACAAAGCATAAAAATTTCATCCCACAGGCACACTACACAAAATTCAGCCAACATTTATAAGTGACTGGGCATGGGCTTAAGTAGCTTTAAACTGACCATTTTCCATTTACACTTTAAAAGTAAAATTCTGGCATTGATTTACTAAAGGCAAATAGACTGTTCACTATGTAAGGGAGTTAGCCCTAGAGCTGAGAGAATGCGGTGAAGTGTCAGTTTACAAAATATACCCAAACATGTGCAAGGGAAAATTTAAAAAAAAATGCATTTTTGCTTTCACATGATTGGATGACAGAAATCAGCAGGGCTTCATCTCATTCACTAAGCTCTGGGGCAAATACCTTTGCAAAGTACAACTTCCCTTGCAAAGTGGACAGTCTATTTGTCTTTAGTAAATCAGCCCCTCTGTCTAAGAGCAGAAAATGCAAGATGTCTACTATTATTAGCCAGAGAAAAAATGTCAGTTTCCCTCTGTGATTTAGCTTCACATTTTTACGAGAGATGAGCTTTTCTGACTTTAAAGCTAGGCCCTACCAAAAGCTATTCCACTTTCTAATGAACCAGACTAAAGGCTTGTTCACACTTGTGTGGAGACCAGTGCAGGTGACATGTGCGGAGCAGGGGAGGGCTGACAACTCATGGGGCCCCGCGGGCAATAGGGGATCATGGGGCCCCTGTGTCCTTGCCAAAACTCAAAAAAGCCTATGAAAAAGGTACCAGGGGCATCTCATGGGGCCCCTTACTGACCCCGGGCCCTTGGGCAATGCCCCGAGTTTCCAAATGGTCAGTCCGCCCCTGGTGCAGAGCATTGTGGTGTGGAAATCTACAGCATACTTGCATGTTTCCTTACCACACCCCATCTCTCTGTCTGTCACTTTTTGACATTTCAATAAAATTAAGTAAAAAAAAAAAAGGTAAACAGTGCCTTGTGTTGTAAAAATGCAAGGGACTGTCCCTGAATCCTATACAGCAAAGACACCAGCCAGGTGGGTATTTTGAATGAGCCTTATGTGGCCCTTGAAGGCACACTCATTGGATAGGAGAATAGAAATTCGTGGAGCTTAAAAGGCTAAGTTCACCTTTCTGAACATGTTACATGTTACACCTGTATTTTGGGTATAACATGTTCAGCATGCAACAGTAGTCAAGAAATTTTTCCCCTGCAGGAGCAAATTGGATCATGCTTTCCTGGAGTTTTTTTGCCTTCCTCTGGATCAACTGTGGGTATAGGATTATAACTTTTTTTTTTTTAATGGTTGAACTGGATGAACTATTGTCTTTTTTCAGCCAGACTAACTATGTAACTATGTAACCCCTGCCAGGCTATTCTTTACTGTCTCTGTACCATTGTGAAAAATTTCCCTTTACTTCCTGACCTAGAGACGCAACAAGAAGTTAGAGGACGTTTCCAAAAGCGAGGGTAATTTCCTGCTTAGACAGGTGTCCTCATTGGAATATGTCCCCTAACCTCTTATTCTGGGGATACCTCTACAATTTTGGAATTCCCATCACTTTCTTTCTCTGTCACAATGGTGGCCAGTGCAAACAGAGCAGTGTGTCTCCCAAATGGCACAAACAGCAATTAAAACATATTAGATTGTCTAACCCTTCCTCACTCTACCAAAAAACTAGAAAAAAAGGATTTTGCATAGAGAATATCTTTAAATTATATTCCAGTCAAAACCAAACATTACATATCAGAAAGCAATACAAGGCACCTGTTCAAGGCTTATGTTATGATTTTCATTCAGCCTTTGTTAAAGTGCACAATGCAGCTTCTCTGCTAAAATCTCCTTACCACCGATAATGCTGTTCCAGGAAAATCATAAACCATGTTAATATGAAATTCAGGTCTTTCCAACCTCACCACCTGTTGTCTATGTCCTAGAGGTTTTACAACAAAGAAGTATGTGACCTGGCACCGCAGTGTCTCCCATTGAGAAAGTTCATATATATCTGGTGGCATTTAAATTAAATAAAATATGTGGACTATATGGGGTTGGTGTACTAAAGGCAAATAGACTGTTCATTTTGCAAGGGAAAATGAACCCTGCGGGAATTTTTCCCAGCTTAGTGAATGAGATAAAGCTATGCTGACTTCCATCATCCAATCATGTACAAGCAAAAATGCTGTTTTCTTTATGCTGCATGGAAATGTACTGACAGTAAACACGTATATAAGAGTTGCGAGCTGAGGGGGGAACTACATCACCATTCTGCTGTTTATTTACTGTCCAGTTAGCAAGCTAGGGCAGAGAGATAACACCTCCTAGAAAGTTGTGTTATCTGCCTGGCTGTGGTTTCTGGCAGGACTGTGTAAACTGAAAGACTGAATAGACAGAAATACCAGTCCTGAAGCAGAACATGTGTTTGTATTTTGCCTGGAGATCTGCTTTAATGCCAAATTCTCGTGCATTCAATAGTATGTTGCACACATACCAGTTCCCTGGTGGTGGGAGGTATAAAGTACTATACTAACCTGTGTATAGTACTCTATTTCCTAGTGTACATTTTATTTATTTCAGGTACTTATATAGCACTATCAATTTACACAGTGCTTTACATATATATATTGTACATTCACATCAGTCCCTAACCCTCAAGGGGTGTACAATCTAAGGTCCCTAACTTATATTCATACATACACATACTAGGGACAATTTAGACAGGATCCAATGAACCTACCAGCATGTCTTTGGAGTGTGGGAGGAAACTGGAGTACCCGCAGGAAACCCACACAGGCACAGGGAGAACATGCAAACTCCAGGCAGGTGGAGCCGTGGCTTGGATTTGAACCAGCGACCCTAGTACTGCCAGGCAGAAGTGCTAACCATTTAGCCACTGTGCCACCCGTTGTTGCACATTGCTCCATTTAGTATGTATGAATCTATAGTGTACATTTCTCTGATGTAATTGGTATAGTGGGACTTGTTCTCTGTTAAGTATTATATACTTCCCACTTATCTAAGATATGGTACCTTGTTCACAATGACAAAGTGTTCAGTTCCCTCTAGTTACACAGCACCATTCCCCTGTATATAGTACCGGCCAATCAGAAAACCAAACTGTTGTAATAACATCAGAACACCTTCTGAGTAGTGTTATCTAACATTAGTGAAGTAGTGAAGCAATTTTGGGTGCAGGCCAGGGCTATGCCACCTTTTTCTTTTTCAATGCTAGAATGATAGTGCAGCATCCTCCTAGTCAGGTGCCAGGATAGGTAAATCTAGTTTTGGCCCATTATAGTCCATAGGGTTAATCTGTTCTGTTAGGCAAATTTAGTTGGCTCACTGTATCCATTGTAGCTAGAATTCTGTTTGGGGTTTATAGTGATATGTTAGTATAGGTAAATGTAGTTTTAACCCACTGCAACCAGTGGAGCTGGGTTTGATTATTTTGGTCTGGTTTGTGTCCCAAAGGCTGCCTGATTGTTTGCTTCTGCCTGTATTCTGGAGGAGCTCTGGGTAATCAAGATAGGAACATATCAATCAGCAGCTTAATATTTATGTAGCCCCAGCCAATCCCTGGGAGGTCTAGCCCAGAGGATTCTGAGCATATATAAATATCCTGGAGCGGAGAGCAGATTTGTCTTCTGCCAGGCAGAGTGAGATCATCACTCAAGGTGCTTGTTTTGACTTCCCTGGGTACGGCTGCCATGTGTTTTTGAGTGAAGGCCCAGGATGGGAGGCTGGAGGGTCTGGAACCACTGTATGTTGGTAAAGGCTTGCTGAGGGGCTGTTGTCTGAGGATCTAGTCTGGTAACAAAAGGAGAAGCTACCTGCAGGATACTGATAGGAGACCACCACTTATCCAGAGACATTCTGTGGGTATAAGTGGGGAAAGATCCTAGAGACTGAGTTCTGCCATGCTCTTGTGTGCTAGAAAGTCAGCCAGGTGTTTGCTAAGAAGTTAGTCCGGAAGAGTATAATCATTCCATTCCTTGTGAAGGAGCTGTTGCTTGGACTGTTCACCAAGAAAGGCTCAACCTCCTAAATCCTGTATTGCATGCAGAACCTGTACATTATTTGCTACACAGGGACACTGTTCGGAGTTTCAAGAGTTCAGAGTTTGAAAAAGCAAATTTAATATCCTCAAGTTTGTTCTAGCAAGTCACTGGAGTATCCTACTTTCCCCAATCCCCATCCAAGTTCATCCCTTATTAAAACAACAAAACCAACAACCCTAGACTGTTTCTTTAGCCAGAGTAAAACTGCATGTGTGCCTGGCTGCAGTGCAATAGTGGGAAAAGACCTTGGGACCTATAAACTGCTGGCCCTACGGGGCATCCAGCTACAATAGGAACCATGATCTTGGTTCTTATAACAGTATAAATATGAGCTATGAGCTAGCCATACATTATAATTTCATTGAGCTAGCCTTCCTGAAGTTGGTAGGTATATTTCAACTGAAGCTTGTATGAAAATAAAGGTCACTAATCAGCTCACCTTTGCTAAATCCACCAAAGTGTTGGCCTGATCATTGAGCTTTCTCTGTTCCATTTTCACACTGCGTAACCTGCAAATGACAGAATGGTTACTTTCACGATGGCAGACCAGTATTTGAAAAAGCCAGTTCCATGACACATGCAAAGCAACCAATGTCTTTTCTTTCTTCACAAAAGAAAAAAAAAGAAAACCAAGGCCAAAACAACTGAAGCTGAGAAATAACACCACCCCCTGTAGCACCTTCACATAGCCCAAAACATAGGACTGTTCAGTGCTGTCAGGGTTAAGAATCTTTATGCATTAGATCATGCAAAGTTAATTGAAAATGAGCAAGCAAAAAGTTCAAATCTGCATAGCATAGCTAAAGACCTTTTAATGAAAAGGCCAGTACACTGATGCACATCTTGTAATGGGTTAGAAGTTTAAAATTTGTTAAGCATCTTTGCATGCATCAGTATGAGTTACCCTTTGTACCACCATTACCTGTGATAGATAGCTTTCATGGAAAACTGGAGCAGCCACTGCAACCATCTTTGAAAATGAGTATGCTGCTAACTATTATGAAGAAGAGTCATTTCAGACTATGCCACCTGACAGATATCACTGAGTGAACTTCAGTTTCAAAAATGAAACTAAGCAAAATTGCTCTTTCCAAACCAGTGATTTACTACAGATTAGATCAGTTACAAAGCTTGGATAGTTTTTCTTGCTGGCCATGCTTATAATGGTAAAATACACTGTGTACTATATTAATATATCATATATCATAATACATTCTGTAGCTAATTAGAAAAATCTTGAAAGCAAATCTAAACCCAAGAACAACAATGCAATTATATTGCAGCTTATAAGTCATTAGATGTAGTGACTGCATTTGTTTTCTTTTTTGATTTAGGCTAAAAACATTTTCTGCAAGTACAGAAAAATAGCTATTGATCCTGTGTCCTCATGAGTGTGTGATTCACTAAAATCTCAGAGAATGATATTAGATTTCTCAGCCATCTTCTGTGACCTGGAAAGCAACACCCCTCTATGTAATGTACATAAGAAGAGGAAGAGGTTTGTAGTCCAAACTGGGGCAGCAGCCTAGGATGACAACCCTGCTCCCTCATTGATACAGTGCAGTGAGTAAATGTTATCACTCTAGAAGGAAATGTGTGTTACTGGTGGGATTACCTGGTGAAAATAAAGAAAAAAAAGGAAACAAAGACAGCCACCACCTCTAAAGACTGGTAAGATGCAATATATACATTGTTTTGGGGTTTAGATTTGCTTTGAAAACACTAGACTTGCAGAGCAGCTTTTTTTCACATATTCCTACTTGTATACATCCATCTGTAGTTGGAAACATGTATGTAGGGAGTGAGACTGAAATGTTTCATGTCGAGCTTGAAACTTCAAAACCACAGAGGTTGGCCATACAGGAAAAACTGAATTTGTTGGTGGGCAAGCCCTATTGTATGGCATAGTTCCCAGGGTTCCAGTTAGACTCATAGGGGTTTATTTACTAAAGCTGGAGAGTCCAAAATCAGACTCCCTTCTGCATAGAAACCAATCAGCTTCTAACCTCAGCTTGTTCAATGAAGCTTTGGCAATGAAACCTGGAAGCTGATTGGTTTCTATGCAGAAGGGAGTCTGATTTTGGACTCTTCAGCTTTAGTAAATAAACCCCATAGAGTTTATTTTCTATTTTAGGGTGAACAGTAGGCATACCTGCTAGTTTCAAGACTTGAGAAAAAATGTAAGTGAAGATGACACATAGTACACCGAGGCAAAAAAGTGTGTGTGTGTGTGTGTGTGGGGAGTCACAAAATAGCAAAGAATATTGGGCACAAATAATTAGGCAAAGTAAAAAAAATTCTATGGCATCAGTGGGAGGAAAAATATCTAGGCCACACCTATTTCTATGGTGGAAAGCTTGGATTAGAGGATGCCTATTCATTTCTATGATAGGATTTGTCATGGACCCGTGTATCCATGGGATTCTGTTCAATTACTGGGAGCCCCCACCTGGATCCAATACAGTCAACTGAAAGCAATTGCAAGTTTGAGTGTATTACAAGGTACTTTGATTACTTTTGGGTTCAAGCAGCTGCTGTATCAATTACAACCAATCTTGGAGTAGGACCTGGACTTCAGATGGACATAGACTACAAATACAGAAGAAACATGGACAGGACTTTATTAAAAACAAAATGCTACGAAACATTTAGGGGGAGGAAAGCTTCTCCTGCACTAAGGGTAAAGGGTAAAGTGTTCCTATACTAACCCCAGTGTTAGACTAAAGAAATGCCCATTTCTAATTTAAACCAAAACTTTTATGTCAAAGATTTCAGCCTAAGGGCTACTTCCATTGTATTTCACAGTGGAAGGATGTCTACTGAACAATTTTGATAGTCTTTAATTAGCACGTGCTCTGCTATCCTGTCACATGTAAAATACACACAAGCATTTGACAGGACCATTGAGTCTTTTGTTCATAAATATCTATGAGCGGCACTATGATAAAATGTGGTTTGTAACATCTTTTTCTGTAAATTATCTGCTAATTTACACTTAGTCCCTTAGTGGTTATAAAGTGCACATGACATGGGGGTCACAATTCCTGGCCTCCTTCTGGAATTGCCTGTTGTGTCTTACTATAAAACAATCCCAGATCTAGAACAAGTACGCAACAAGTAAAATCAAGATTCCTGAGCTCCATAACTTGTTTGAAGCACTAAACTGAGTCACTGTAAGAACCAAGCAAATTGCCTTTTCAAAAGGATATTTTAAAAATGGGTGACCCTTTTTTGCTCTCCTACCAGGGTTTTTTTTAAAGCTAATCTCCAGGTAGATAAAAAGGACTAAAATGAATGTATCTTTCTATTCATTAACATATTCTTAAATGTACTTTTTTTTAACTCAAGCACAGAGCTTAGACTAGGAGAGGTAAAAGCAGCTTGGAGCCAGAGCATTGTGCTACAGTGCATGAAGCATATTGGTAGAAGAGAGTAGAGAGGCAATCTCATCTATCTGCTGCTTCTCTTTTCACTGTCCAGTCATAGGCTGTGGAGAGGAACTGCAAGTGTTACTATAGCTATAGATTTGGATGTGGTTTGGCCAATGATTGCAATTAAAGTTAGGCAACTGTCTTTTATAATGTCTTATTTAGTTCTCTCAGGCAGCATGGTTACTAAAAAACTCTGGCTCATTATAGAAAGCAGCATGTTCACAGCTCACAGAAAGAAAAAAAATTTATGCCAGGTTTTCTCATTCATCAGCGAATGAAAAACCACAACAGGATCTCAGAGATGAAGATCACGACTTTGCAGTTGTTTAAATTCCCATGCAGACAAGCACCAATACATCTGGAGAAGTTACTCGTTGGAGAGTTGGGGTGGGGGATGGAGAAAGAAACTTACTTCTGTGCTCTGGTAGGGGATGATTTAGCAGAACAAAGACAAAACACAACATAATTGTTGTTGCCATTAACAAACAAGACACTAAACACAAAATGCAACACATCTAGTTTACAGGACTTAGGTGTATACAGGAGACAATCTGGAGGGTACATAAGCCAGGGAATTGCCAAGTAAATGACAATATAATTGATATAAGAGAATCATTTTAATGTGCTGATTAAAAATATATCAAAGGTTAGAGCCACTTTTGACAATGGGAATCTTTTATCTTAGAATGACATAGCGGTGTATCCTTGGATATTTGAATTTGTGAATCCTTGAAGTTTTTACACTCAGATTACTTCCAATGATTTCTTATATGTGGTTTCCTACATTGGGAAGCAAGGGCTGCAGAGACTAATCACGCAATCTAGCATTCTTCCCACAATAAAATAGAATGAGAAGCTTGTCTTTGTTGATATCTCAGTGGGAATGCACAAAAAAAGGTTCCACTTGGTCTCAATGACTTGCTCCACAATGGTCAACCCACATCTGTGCTGATTTATGGAAATAAAGCAGTGGTGAAGGCCACGTGTTCCATCTCTTTTTATATACTATAAAGCACTATTGCTGAAGGAGTGGCCTCTACAACCCGTCCATTATGTGAAGGCTTAGATTAGAGCAAGAAACCTTTTTTTTTTTGTGTTTCAAACCACTGCAAACAAAAATGTTAACTGTTATTAAAAAGAAACATGCAAGGCATGTTAATGTTACAGGGAACTACGCCCACTTGTTCTTTACAGCCAAGGAAGCTCCCATCCTAGCCTCTGTTTGATCTGCAGTTGCCATGGCACTGCACATGTGATCAGTTATGACACCAGCCATTTGATGGCTTGACAGTTCAGTTGAGAGCACATACTCCTGAAACAGTTATCATTTATGACATTTATCAGGAAACCGACATGCAGTGATAACCAGAAAATTCTGAATATTTTCATGTAGGTCTGTCTGATCTGTAAGAACTCAAATATTTCAGCAATCCAGGCAATTATGATTTATGAATTACATGATTCTCTGCAGACTAGAAAAATCTGCATATCTTAGGAAAAAGAAAACATGCTTTTTGTCCATACACGAGTTTTGTGAATGAATTTCAGTGATCATGATTAATATCCATTATACCACCCGTTCTTTTATTATAACCTATAAGAATTAATTCTTGGCCCTTTATCTCTTTACTTCTCTCCCTATAAACTGGCACCTGTTTGGTTATACATTTCATCTGCATTGCTGCTGTATTTTTCGTGTTGCCATGGAAGCCACTTCAAGTATTAGCTAAACAAATCTCAGGGAAATCAGAGTTGTACAAGCTTCAGTTCATTTTGTCCATATTTATTTTCTGCATATATTTACTCACACAGGGAGGGTGAGAAATATTTAAACAGGTTGAAAATGAAAAAAAGGTATAATGTTAATTTCTAGCAGCCAGTTTAATAATAGATAATGTGTTCTGCCATTATTTGACCAATTGTTGAATATACACATTATAAGACAAATACATCGGTCTAACCTGATTGTATACATGCAAATATAGCATAACTTACACATTTAATAAAATTATACTCCACTGTAAAACATTGGAAAAAAAGCATATCGTTTATATTGCTGATTTTATTGCACAACTTAAATTATATCTAGAATTGTTCTGATTTTTTACTTCCAACATTATCTAATTCATAGATTAAATACAGTTTTCACCAGAAGTTTTTTTGTCCTTTGGTCTGCATAAATATCAATATAGCAAGAGCCCATAAGATAGCAAAAACCCCAATGCCTTATCTTTTTAGCAACATACTATGTTTAAGTGCACTAAAACAACACAGTGGGGTTGATTTACTAAAATTGCTAAATCTGGTGCAGCTCTGCATAGAAACCAATCAGCTTCCAGGTATTTTTGTCAAAGCTTAATTGAGCAAGCTCAAGTTAGAAGTTGATTGGCTACCATGCACAGCTGCACCCGGTTTTGCACTCTCCAGTTTTAAAAAATCAACCCCAATGAGCACATATTTAGTACTATTGTAGTTATTTTTATGTATCTATTTGTAGGAGTTTTAATCTATGTTTTATCTTAATGATTCCTACGCATGGTAAGGATTATCTCTAATAGGTACCATACAACTTATTGAAGGGGTTATAATTACCATTAGGTGCTTATGGGTATGTGCCTAGGGCAGCAAGGCTGGAGGAGGCAGCAAAGTAGGACCTTACAATTTTTTCTCTTTTAATTTTTTTTGATCATTGGTATATCCTGTAGAAAATGGGAAGAAATGGTGCAGAACCTGTTAAAAGAAGGTTGTATATAAAACTGGCATAATTCTGGCCCAAGTAAGGCATTCTAATTTAAATAATAAAGAATGATTATGATAATTATTATTATTATAGTAGGGAGGGGTAGAAATATGACTACAGTCTATTTAAAAGTTCAGTCCTGAAATTGTGGAATTGCAAAGTAGTTGACAGGGGTTCCAACCTTCCCTTACTGTATTAAAAACCCATTGCAGTTCTATTACTCCACCACTCTATCTAAAATGAAAATTAAAAACTTTAGCTGCCATAAACTTAATTATCTTCCGAACCTAATTTAAAAGGTAAAGTGTATAAAAAAATATATCTCACATGCATATCAAAATTGGAGTTTAAGCCCAGTCTGACATATTTTGGCAATTTCCATCAGAGGGATATAGCGGCACAGACATAATACCATGTAACGTGCTTTGAAACTTGCAAAAAAACAATATTCAAAATTGACACATGGGTGGGCTTAGTTTACAAAAATGATAGTCTGGATGTTAGGATAAAAATGATTAGTACTACATATGTTAAAAAAGGCTTTTTGATATTGCTCCCTTTTCTTCCCACTCTGCCCCCCTTATTTCGTTTTTATTTTGAACTTTTAGTTACCCTAATTTTCTTTCTCCCCTTGACTGACCTTTACACCTTTCTTTCCCTTCTACTCTCACTTACAGGTGAATTGCTTGCAGGAACTTGCGCTGATGTTTGCGTACTTTAGCATGGTCAATTTTTCTCACAAGTTTTGTGTGTTTGTAAATGAGCCACGTTTCCCTGAGCACATTGGCAGCTGCATTTTTCACCTGAAGAAAAAAGAATAAGAAAAAAACAAACAAATCACATCATCAGCAATAGTAGGAAAAAATTGTAATGAAAGAAGACAGAAACAGGAACACATGGAAATGAAGACTTGATATAGTGACAAGGAATTCTGCATGTAGGATTTTGAGGAAGGGTGAATGGGGAGAAGATGGTAAAAGAAAGTATTAGCAAGACATCATACCCAACAGACCACCCACCTTAATTTATTTTCTCCAATACCTTTACATACTGGACTAGAAGTAGAACCTTTTATACATGTTTTCATATAAAACAGACTGTCTAGATTGTAAAGAAAAAAGGTGATCAAATACCACCAAAAAAAATCTCTATTTGTGTAAAAAAAAAAAAAAAAAGATACAAATTTCAGTAGGTTACAGCATTGCATGACCGTGCAATTGCCAGTTATAGTAGAGCAGTGCCGAATAGCAAAAAACAGCCTGATCATGAAGGGGGTAAAATCTTCTGAAGGTTAAAGTGAAACTTCACCCAAAAGGGGAAGTTCCACTTGTTTGTATCTTTCCACCCTCCACTGCCACACTTGACACTTTTTTTTTTGGAGGGGGGGGGGGGGGGGGGGGGGGGGGGGGGGTTGACAGGTAACAACACCCACTTCCTGTCAGATGTGCCGTGATGATTTGAGTTGGAGGTTCGGCCCTCCCCTCCTTCCCCCGCAGGTCCCAGAAGACTGTGGGACCACAAAGCCTTAGGGCTTCACTGCCGGTTTCCCTTACTTAAGATGCTGGCGCCTGGACACTAAGCCGACTGGAGAATTGGCTCGGGTGAGGATATGGATCCCTGGACAGGTAAGTATCTTTACATTAAAAGTCAGCAGGTACAGGATTTGTAGCTGCTGACATTTAATTTTGTGGGGGAGCTTTAAGTGGTTAATCTACAGACGCCACTTATCTGCATAGGCAGTTTTTTGGTAAAGGTGAAGTAACCCTTAAACAAATACAGGCTCAATGAAAAGGGCCCACTTGTTGAAAGCCTAGATTTGTGTAATGAAGGAAAAGTAAGAAGTCAATTAAACAAACTGGTTAAATAGATGAGGTAATAAAACCACACAGCCAAGGTAAAGAAGCTAAATTAATTAATGTTAAAAGCACATGTCAACATATAATGCCATAGTTATTCCACCAAAACACAAACTCTAACATTTTTAATATGTAGATATATGAAAGAAAATGTTACCACTGAGGCTTGTTGGCTAGGTTCACACTTGCCCGCAGGCTGGTTGCAGGTGCAGGAATCGCACCTGCTCCTGCACCCACAACCAGCCGAATCGTACTGCTCTTACGAGCAGCGTGTTTGCGGGTATGGAAGCTTTATGGTCAAAAAGACCATACAGCTTTCCCTGTGGCCACATTTTTAAAAAGGTGCACACACCTTTTTCTTGCGGGCAATGTGGTCAAAGCAGCCCATTCAAATGAATGGGCTGCCGTACCCGAGCAAACGTAAACTGCACAGCATGCAATAGTGTGAACCTAGGCTTAAGGGGCATGGTGTCCTCAATCTACAACTCAACACTACAGGTAAAGAAATAAAAAGAAGTTCCTTTCTGCCATAATCAAGTGATTAAGCTGATAATAGTAGGGCATGCATTAGCCAGTTCTGTGCAAATTGGAGTAAGATCTGAGCAAAATGGGATAAAACATTATAGTAGTATTAAACCCAAAAACAAACATTTTATTTATTGCAGCTTACCAATTCTTAGATGTGGTGGGTGCATTAGTAGCCCTTTTTTCCTTTATTTTCACCTGGTGATCCAACCAGTAAGGGCTTGTTTACATTTGCAGTTGGAGGGCAGTAAAAACACATGGCTGAGCCAACTATCCAAGAAGCAAAGCTTCTTGACCTTGGAAGGAATAAAAACCCCTGCTACATTTGGCAGGCACAAAAGCAACTAATTTAGTTGAATGGAGACATGCTGCAACTGCTCCTTGATGAAGTGCAATGCATTTGGGGGGTTAAAAGAGGTGGTAAGGAGATGACATATCACCTCCTCACCACCTGTCAAACTCCTTTGAAATGCAATCTGAGTGTGGATTCAGGTCAGGGCTTCATTAAAGTGTAACTCTAACCAAAGCTCAGTTATGGACAGAGTCGAGAAGGATCTGAACCTCTACCAGGCTTTAATTGCAGCCTGTGTCTACACTCCAAAATATTCCCCTTATTTCCTATCCCGGTGACTAGAGATGAGCGAATTATTCAAAAATTCGATTTGGCTGATTCGCCGAATTCGCGGAATAAATTCGATTCGAGGCGAATATATTCGCTGCGAATTTAACGTGTAAAAAGGGTGTTTCTAGGCTTCAGAGAGCCTTTATATTAGTGCAGAACACTGTACCTTTAATTTAAATGCCCTTGGAGTCTGCTGGGGAAGAGAAATAATACTGTCAGTCAGTATGACATGCAGATGAGTGCCGTCGATCTTAGAATCACCGCACACTTCACTCATTTGGGCAGTCACGGGGCCAAAACCAGAGTGTGGAGCCACAGTGTGGCGGTGGAGGCAGCAGCAATGGGAGGCCATACAGCACCCTATCACAAAATGGAACCCACCAACAGTGTGAGGAGACCTGAAAGTGGCACATGGCAGAGTGTGGCGATGGAGACAGCAGCAATGGGAGGCCGTACAGGGACCCATGACACACTCTGAACCTGGCAGCAGCATGAGGAGGCGGTACAGGGGCCCATGACAGATTACGGGCCTGGCAGCAGCATGAGAAGTCGGTACGGGGGCCCATGGCAGATTACGGGCCTGGCAGCAGCAATGGGAGGCCATACAGCACCCTATGACAAAATGGAACCCACCAACAGTGTGAGGAGACCTGAAAGTGGCACATGGCAGAGTGTGGCGATGGAGACAGCAGCAATGGGAGGCCGTACAGGGACCCATGACACACTCTGAACCTGGCAGCAGCATGAGGAGGCGGTACAGGGGCCCATGACAGATTACGGGCCTGGCAGCAGCATGAGGAGTCGGTACGGGGGCCCATGGCAGATTACGGGCCTGGCAGCAGCATGAGGAGGCGGTACAGGGGCCCATGGCAGAGTGGCGGAGCGTAAGCAGCTAAAATTGAAGGCCATACAGAGGCCTATGTTAAAAAGTCCCCCCAGAAGCAGCGTGGGGAGACGACTAATAGTCGTCTCCCCACGCTGCTGCTGGGGGGACTTTTTAACATAGGCCTCTGTATGGCCTTCAATTTAAGCTGCTTACGCTTCGCCACTCTGCCATGGGCCCCTGTACCGCCTCCTCTTGCTGCTGCCAGGTCCAGAGTGTGTCATGGGTCCCTGTACGGCCTCCCATTGCTGCTGACTTCATCGCCAGACTCTGCCATGTGCCACTTTCAGGTCTCCTTACACTGTTGGTGGGTTCCATTTTGTGATAGGGTGCTGTATGGCCTTCCATTGCTGCTGCCTCCACCGCCACCCTGCGCCATGTGCCTCTGTCGTCTGCTCACGCTGCTGACGGCTTCCGCTTTTTAACCGAGGCCTGTGTTTGGCTTCCGAATACTGCTGCATCCACCGCCACCCTGCGCCATGTGCCTCTGTCGTCTGCTCACACTGCTGCCAGGTCCATACTGATTCATGGCCCCCTGTACCGGCTCCTCATGAACGTGGTTCAGCGGGTTTTCATCACTTAACGGCAAATCGTTGACAAACGCTGGACGTTCAGTGTTGTGCGCATTAAGCCAGACACCAAAGGGCAGCACAGACCTGTTATTACTCGCTCAAGCATGGCTGAACAAAACCAGTCTCTACCACAAATTGGACCCAGACCTGCCCAGGGTCTCGTAAGTAGATTGCACGGAGGAGTAGAGTTCGTTATTGGAATTAACTGTGAGGGACTTTTAAACCTAGGCCTGTGTATGGCCTTCAATTGAAGCTGCTTCTGCTCCGCCACTCTGCCATTGGACTCTTGATAGTCGTCGACTATCAAGAGTCCAATGGCAGAGTGGCGGAGCAGAAGCAGCTTCAATTGAAGGCCATTCACAGGCCTAGGTTTAAAAGTCCCTCACAGTTAATTCCAATAACGAACTCTACTCCTCCGTGCAATCTACTTACGAGACCCTGGGCAGGTCTGGGTCCAATTTGTGGTAGAGTCTGGTTTTGTTCAGCCATGCTTGAGCGAGTAATAACAGGTCTGTGCTGCCCTTTGGTGTCTGGCTTAATGCGCACAACACTGAACGTCCCAGCGTTTGTCAAAGATTTGCCATTAAGTGATGCAAACCCGCTGAACCACGTTCATGAGGAGCCGGTACAGGGGGCCATGAATCAGTATGGACCTGGCAGCAGCGTGAGCAGACGACAGAGGCACATGGCGCAGGGTGGCGGTGTAGGCAGCATTATTCTGAAGCCATACACAGGCCTAGGTTAAAAAGCGGAAGCCGTCAGCAGCGTGAGCAGACGACAGAGACACATGGCGCAGGGTGGCGGTGGATGCAGCAGTATTCGGAAGCCAAACACAGGCCTCGGTTAAAAAGCGGAAGCCGTCAGCAGCGTGAGCAGACGACAGAGGCACATGGCGCAGGGTGGCGGTGGAGGCAGCAGCAATGGAAGGCCATACAGCACCCTATCACAAAATGGAACCCACCAACAGTGTAAGGAGACCTGAAAGTGGCACATGGCAGAGTCTGGAGATGAAGTCAGCAGCAATGGGAGGCCGTACAGGGACCCATGACACACTCTGGACCTGGCAGCAGCAAGAGGAGGCGGTACAGGGGCCCATGGCAGAGTGGCGAAGCATAAGCAGCTTAAATTGAAGGCCATACAGAGGCCTATGTTAAAAATAATAAATGTTTGTTTGGGGCATGATTCATGGCGGATTTAGTCAGTTGTGTCAGGAACTGGTGGTTTGAAATCCAGACTAATCCACGCCTGATTCATTTTCACAAACGTGAGTCTCTCCACACTTTGGGTGGACAGTCGTGTCCTCCGCGGAGTTACAATACCTCCTGCCGCACTAAACACGCGCTCCGATGCCACGCTACTGGCTGGGCATGACAGCCTTTCAAGGGCAAATTCAGCTAGTTGGGGCCAAAGGTCAAGTTTCGTTGCCCAGTAGTCAAGGGGATTGTCTACCTCGGTTGGCAGGGTGCTGTCCAAGTAGGCCCGAGCCTGTTGTTTGAGGTCCTGCTCCAGGTCCACCTGATGCTGCTGCTGCTGCGGCTGGTTAGTAGTTTCCTCACTGCGCTGGTGAAGAAAGCTACTCATCATCGACTGCAGACTGAGGCAGCCGCTGCTGGTGGAGCTGCCACTGCTCCTACCACCCCACCCCTCCCCTGCTGCCATGGCAGCGGAACGCGAGCGCACAGGGCCCACAGTGTCTGAGGATGGACGTTGGCGCAGAAAGGCAGAGACCAACTGACTACATAGGTGGTTTTTATAGTACTTTATTTTGGCCTCCCCTCAGCAGGTGTGAAAAAAGGCCACCATTTTTGAACGGTAGCGAGGGTCCAACAAGGTGGACAGCCAAAAGTCATCCCTCTGTCTGATGGTTATTATTCGGCTGTCGCTACGCAAGCAACCGAGCATGCTATGGGCCAGTTGTGCCAAGGAATGCGAGGGACTCCCTGCCTCCATCTCCACAGCATACTGCCACGGTGCGTCTGGGTCCTCTGTCTCCTCCTCCTCCTCCTCTACCAGATGCTCCTGCTCCTCCACTCCTGTCCGCTGAGTGGAAAAACCACCCATTTCACTCAATAATTCCTGAGCACCAATGTCCTCCTCTACCTCCTCCTCTTCTTCCTGTCCTGCCCCCACAGGGGTCATGTGGCGTTGAGATCTGTGCGCCACGTCTACCGCACCCTGACCAGCCATTGTTAACAGCATTTGTTCCAGGACGTGCAACAGAGGAATGACGTCGTTCATCCCATAGCCCTGCCGACTCACGAATAGCGTGGCCTCCTCAAAGGGCCTGAGCAAGCGGCAGGTGTCACGCATGAGCTGCCAATGGCTGACATCTAAGTTACACAGGGGAGTACCTTTATCCGCTTGTAACATCAGGAAATCGGTGATGGCCTTTCGCTGTTCGTAAAGGCGGTCTAACATATGTAGGGTTGAATTCCACCTTGTTGCAACGTCGCAGATCAGGCGATGCTGTGGAATTCCGTTCTGCCGCTGCAGCTCAAGGAGGGTGTGCTTTGTGGTGTAGGAATGGCTGAAATGCATGCAAAGTTTACGTGACATTTTAAGGATGTCTTGCAGTGGGATGGTGGATTTTAGGAACCGCTTGACAACCAGATTGAACACGTGAGCCATGCATGGCGCATGGCACAACCTTCCTTGACGCAGAGCAGACACCATGTTCTTTCCGTTGTCGGTCAACATGGTTCCGATTTTCAGTTTGCGCGGAGACAGCCATCTGTCGATTTCTCTGTTCATTACACTCAGAAGTTCCTCCCCTGTGTGACTACGTTCGCCAAGGCATACCAGGTGCAGCACAGCGTGACACCGTTGCGCCCTGCACATGTCATATGCCGGTCGGGTAATGGGACTTGGCACGGGGGTGGCGGCTGAGGACACGGCGGAAGAAGAGGTGGTAGAGGCGGACATCTTTGCTGGACCAAGGACGTGCAAACGTGGAGGCAAAAGCGGCGTGACCTGTCCAAGTTGCTGGTGCGGCTGTGCCGGCACCACGTTCACCCAGTGGGCCGTAAATGACATGTACTGTCCCTGACCGTAGTTACAGCTCCACACGTCGGCGCTGCCGTGCACTTTGGCAGAGACCGACATGCTCAAAGACTGGCCCACCATCTCTTCTACATATGAATTCAGGGCTGGCACTGCCTTTTTGGCGAAGAAATGCCGGCTTGGCACTCTCCACCGCGGCTCGGCACAAGCCATCATTTCTCGGAAAGGTGCTGAGTCCACCACTTGGAAAGGGAGGGACTGCAGCACCAGCAACTTGGACAGGAGGACGTTCAGCTTCTGCACCGTCGGGTGCGTGCTCGCAAACTCTTGTCTCTTGGAAACGGATTCCAAGAAAGACTGCTGACGGAATCCGTGAAGAAGAGTAGCAGGAGAAGGAGCATCTGAACGAGCGGAAGATGCCAACGAGCGACAACTCCCCTCAGCAGAGGTGTTGGAGCCTTGACTGGCTGATAGAGGGCGATTGACGTCGGGTGACGGAGCAAGTAACGGAGCGGGTGATGGAGCGGGGGCTGGGGCAGGCAGAACCGCCGTATCTTTATCACGGTTTTCCCAGGCCACCGAATGGCGACGCTGCATATGCTGATGCAACGCTGTAGTCCCAACATGGGCCCCCTGCCACGCTTGACTTTCTGGCACATAGTCGACATACGGCTACGTTTACTTCCTCGGGCGGCTTGACAAAAAATTGCCACACCGCCGAGTAGGAAACTTTGCCCCCGCTACTCCTCACTGGCTGACTGCTACTTCCTCCGTGCACACCGGCACCACTACTGGCCGTGGTGGTAGGCTGCAGTGGAGCTGGTGCTCTACTCCGTGGCCGTTTGCCTCCACTGACACTGCTGCGACCCTGCTGCCTCCTGGGCAACCCACCGACTGTTTTGCTCGCTGCCAAGCTGGCACCCTCTTCTCCTGATGATGCGGAAGCAATAGCCTGATGACGACGAGGCTGCCAAGTGCGATCAGCCTCATCATCATCAATTAGGGTCTCCGCGTCACTACTAGCCCCCTCGGCTGCGTGTGGGTCAGGAGACAGACCTGTCTCTAGACCGGCTACCGAGCCACTCTCCTCGCCAGTACTTCTTCGCCTGGCTGCTGAAGAGGCGGATGTCTCCCCCCGTTCCTGACCGCCCTCTGTTAGCTCTTCCTCACTGTACAGTGGGGCTGAGCCCACAGCATGCGATACTTCGCTTGGTGAGGGAACACCAAAGGACAGGGGCAGGTAGAGGACACGTGATTTCAGTGGGCTTGCTCCCGGGCCATGCCAACTAACGGTTGTGTCTGATGTACCCACCGACCGTTGGCTGTAGGTGTCAGAGGTGACCTGGGAAGAGGAAGACGACCGAGTCAACCAATCGATGACGGCAGGGTTGTCGGTGGAGACACGACCGCTGG